GTTTTGGGTCCTCATTTTACTGGCCTTGGAAGATGGAAGGCTGAGTCAACCTTGAGCTGATCAGGATCGAACTCCTGACTGTGGGCAGAGTTTGCTTGCAATTCTGCATTCTAAGTGGAAAGGAAGGAAGGAAGGAAGGAAGGAAGGAAAATAGCAATAGCACTCAGACTTATTACCAGTCCACAGTGCTTTTACAGCCCTCTCTAAGCGGTTTACAGAGTCAACCTATTGCTCCCAACAGTTTTGGGTCCTTGTTTTACCCACCTTGGAAGGATGAAAGGCTGAGTCAGCCTTGAGCCTGGTGAGATTTGAACTGCCAAATTGCAAGCAGCCAGCAGAAGTAGCCGGCAGTACTGCACTCTAACCACTGTGCCACCGAGGCAGCTTCATAAGCCTTGATAGGATGTTTTTCCTTTCAGGGATCCACTTCCCTGGACTTCACTTAATTTTGGTTTCTGGAAGACAGGACAATGGCTGGGTTTATACAGCTTTGCCAACCTGTGGTGTACAAAGCACAATGGATGGGCTTGAGTTACACAAAGAAGTCCCGCTGGCTGGGGTGGCTGGCTTTCTGTAATATTTTACTTCTAATAACACCATTCAGATAGTGCTCAATTTATGACTGTTTGCTTAGCTGCTCCAAGATATGAAGGACTTCCCCTCCCCCAAAGAAAAGATACTGAAAACCCGGATTCAAAGTTCTAATGGCTGCCCCTCCCGGTGGTCACGTGATTGGCAACCAGACTACATTTATAGCCACTTACAGTGTCCTGTTGTTGTATGACTATGATTTACTCTGCTACTTGCTGGAAACTGGCATTTATGTCTAGCTTCCAGCAAAAAAAAAATCCCATTGTGGACAATAGATTTGCTTAACAACTTATCACAAAAAGTTCAGAAAAGCAGATCGGTTTTGCAATGATTGGCATAACTTAGAACTGTAATTCTGAGCTCAATTGTGGCTGAAATTTGAGGACTACCTGTATTGGGTACCTGGTGTCAGGTGAAAAGAATGAGTACCATTCATTAAGTTACAGTTAAGATTTATTGCTCCAGCAAGAATCTAGTCATCTGATATTTGACACTAAATTGGCAACAATAAATTGATATTAGATAAGAGTCAATGGAATTCAAAAGGACTAAGACCAGGAGTGTCAAACTTGATTTCATTGTGGGCTGCATCAGGGTTGTTTTTGACCTCGGAGAGCCAGGGTGGGTGTGGCCAACTCAACATCACTCGTTTTGGGGGCATCTGTGGTGGCCCAAGGGTGCTGCCCACGAAAAGGGGCTCCCGAGCTCCATTTTCTACTTCCCTCTGCCAGCAAAAATGGAGCTTGGGAGGGTCATTTGGCCCTGAATCTTGAGTTTGACACCCCTGACTTAGACCGATTGTGGGAATGTAACGACTCCAGGCTGATGACTCACTTAACTCCACCCTCCAGCTCTGCCTGCTCTTCTAAACCGGGTCCTTGTAACCGAGGTCTCGGGACTGCTGGGTTCCTTGGTGTCAAAACAGACACATCACAAAGTTAGGGCCTAGGTATGAGTTCCACTAAGAATGAGGAACTTGTGGTTTTCCAGGAGCTGCTACAGTTATTTCACCTCCTTGCAACTCCAGCGAATGTGGTGAGGAGGGAGGTGGTTTTCCTTTGAAGGGGGCTAAATTCTTTAAGAGACAGAAACTTTGAAACTCAAACTGTCTGCCTTTGTTGAAGCAGTTTTCTTACTGTTTGTCAGTTTTGCCGTGAATCATTCATGGTACGAAGAAGAGCAATTAACTGGTTCTCATGAAAATAAGTCATTAAATAGGAGCAGCCTGGAAGAACCTAATCTCACCACTTGATCAGATGGATTCCTCAGTGGAGGGGAAAGTGGCAGATCACTCTTGTAAAGTAGCACTGCAGTTGCATTATTTACAGAGAAGCCAGCTTTAAAGAACAGCTGATTAAAAAGACCAGAGAGAGAGAGAGACGGAGGGAGGGAGGCAGAAGAGAGAGCATGCAAACTTAATACCGGATGTTGACTGTAGTTGTATACCCAGGGGTTGCACTTTTATTCAGCTTCTGCCTTGAGTTTCTTTTTGTGTTAGAAAGTTTATTATAATACCTTTGGAGGAATTTTGATCTGGTTAATGTCTCTCAAAGGAACTTTCTCTTTAATTAGGAGAGAGGGGAAGTCCATTTCCTAAATGCGAGTTTCAGCGAGAGAAGTAATCTTGTTTTTTTGTTTTGTTTTTGCCTTCTACTATTTACTACTTTCTTAGCAAGAGTAAAAAAAAAACAGCAATTGGAAAAGAGCCCCCACCCCCACCCCCAATGTGGATTTTTAGCAAGAGTTGTTTGCTTCAGCTTTCAAGAGAATTGCTCACCCAGGTGTTGTTAAAAGAAGAAGAAAAATCAGGAGTTGAAGGATTAGACAATAAATATTATGGTTTTACATGGCCGGGTCTACCATTGAAGCAGATGCTTCAAGCAACTGATGTCGTTTGTAAGCCTGCTCTTTGATTTCCAAGCTAACTTTGCACTTTGGATAAATAAAGAACACTGTCTCTCTACCAGTGTTCAAGAAAAATTCTCCACCTTCTGTTGATATAAATTTTCATAGGAATTATTGAATTTTTAAACTGAGTTCATTCTGGTTTGTACAGCAACCAAACAGGATGGCTACAGACTCCCAACATAGTCAAGGCTGCAGAAGGAACAGTTGCAACCAGCCAGCCTTCTATAGAAGGTTGTATATTGCATGGATCAGAAGGAGGAGAAGTGTCTATGGAGATTCTCAGTCATCCAGATCATGATTGTCTCCAAGGTGCTTTTTCAAGAGGCAACTGGACTGTCTGGTTTTTCTTTAAAGACGTTTCGCTTCTCACCCAAGAAGCTTCTTCAGCTCTGACTGGATGGTGAGGAAAGTCAAAGCTGAAGAAGCTTCTTGGTTGAGAAGCTAGACATCATCAAAGAAAAACCAGGAAGTCCACTTGCCTCTTGAAAAAGCACCTTTGGGAGGACTGAGAAGGTATCTACCTTCACATCCCTCACATCCTGGACATAAACTGTTTCAACATCTCCTCTTGGGGCGCCACTATAGGACATCGCATGCCAAAACAACTAGACACAAGGACAGTTTTTCCCCTCATCCCATCACTCTGCTGAACATCTAATTCTCACAGTGCTGTCTAATGTCTATGTGCATTTACACATCTAGTGAGGCGTAGTATTATTATCTATCTTTACTCCCTCCTTTTATAGGTATTAGTTTACTGGTATTATTACTGTTATTCTGTTGCTTTTCATGTACACCAAATGCTTCTGTACCGGAGGCAAATTCCTTGTGTGTTTAATCACACTTGGCCAGATAAAGTATTTTAATTCAGTTCAGTGTTGTCATCTTGTTTCCGAATGCTTGGAATTTTCTCTCGTTCTTCCTCAGGCTTGTTCTTCCCTTTGGTCTTTCTCTTTTGAGTTCTTTTCTGTTCCTAACTTGTAGCCATTACTGCTTCTCGTTATCGTCAGGTGTTTGGTGCTGAAGTTCCAGACTCTAGAATACTAACTAAGCTTAGTTCTAAAGTTCTAAAATGACTACAACCTAATTCAGGAAATTAAGAGCTCGCTAAAATGCCATGATTCAGTGGTCATATTGCTCCCATGGTGTCATCTTGTTCATCGACTTGGACAACAAAATATTTTGGGCCTATTCTATGAACTTGGCCTAGATTACAAATGATCTACCCAAAACAGAAACTTAGAAAGTAGCAGGAAACCCCTGGATTTTTCATGCCTTTTTTTCACTCAGCACTTTATTTATTTATTTATTTATTTGCATTTTGATCTTGTGAGTCTCTGATTGTCTTTTGGTCAGGATAAAATATTTAATAAAGAATTAATTGTAGGATAGGAATATCTCTGCCTGGATTGTTTATATGTGTTGGGGCAGAAAGCATGTTTCAGATTGAAATGACAAATCATCATATTAGTCTTGGTTTCTCTAAATATTTGCTATGGCTTAATATCACCTGCAATTTGAATGAAAGAAATCTAATAGATTGTTTTCTTGAATTTCCTTACTTCACAATGTAACACCTTCCCTTTTAAATATATTATTTATAATGTGTACATTGTTTATACATCTGTCAACATTGTAAGCTGTAGCTTCATTTAATTTAGCCAGTCTTTTTTCTCCCCTATTACTGTTTAATGCATAAAATAGAGCCAATTTTTTTTCATTAAAAATACCTGTGAATTGATGATATAAAATAGCAGATAACATTTTTAAGGAGCATTTTGTTTTCACACTTTGAGAACATTTCCCAGCCCAGAATTAAAGCACAGATTATGCTTGGAACAAGACTATTTAGTACGAGCAGGATATTGATGAACTAATTGTTGCGGAGCTGAGTAGCGCTTTTTCACACCTCTTCCCACAGAAAAATGCACATTTTATAGATCGAAATGTAGGCAGAGAAGATGGGGTGGGAGTGGAAACTCCTTTGAAATGAGTTTGACTTTGTGATGGCTACATTCGTGTGGCTTTCTTGGCACAAATGAGGAAATGGCTTGGCATATAAGGCCCTAGTGGCCCCACAGGATGTAATAAAAAATAAAGAAAATTTGTTATTTATATACATGAAATATATGTTTTAAATGCAGCCCAAGACAATTCCTCTTTGAGTAAAGAGGAATTGTCTCCCTCCTCTCTCTCCCTCTCCCCCTCCCTCCCTCCCTCCTTCACCCACCCACCCACCCATCTCTCTCTCCCCCTCCCCCTCCCTCCCTCCTTCACCTACCCACCCACCCATCTCTCTCCCCCTCCCTCCCTCACCCACCCATCCATCTGTCTCTCCCTCTCTCCAATCCTATCAAGACAATTCCTTTTCATTCATTCCATCTATCTATCTATCCATTTATCTATCTATCACTATCTTCTAAGCAATTGTAGCCTGAAAGATGAGCTAAAAAATACACAGTATTATTTTTTTAATTTGGTTTTGGTTCCTTCCTCTACAGAACATGGTCCAGCACAATCCCTGGGAAGGTGGAGTTTTTTTCCAGCGAGGGCTCCGATATGTCTCTTCCGATCCCCATCGTGTCACTACCTGGCGTAGATGACTCTTACCCACCGCAGAAGAAATCGTTCATGATGCTCAAGTACATGCATGACCACTATTTGGACAAATACGAGTGGTTCATGAGAGCGGACGATGATGTCTACGTGAAAGGAGACAAGCTGGAGAACTTCCTGCGGAGCTTGAATAGCAGCGAGCCCCTCTTCCTGGGGCAGACCGGGCTAGGCACGACCGAAGAAATGGGGAAACTGGCCCTGGAGCCTGGAGAGAACTTCTGCATGGGGGGTCCAGGAGTAATCATGAGCCGAGAAGTGCTTCGGAGAATGGTCCCTCACATTGGGGAATGCCTTCGAGAGATGTACACCACCCATGAGGACGTGGAGATCGGCAGATGTGTACGGAGATTTGCAGGAGTGCAGTGTGTCTGGTCTTATGAGGTAAGCCGGGGTCAGGGTAGAGAAGGGTTTAAGTGTTCAAGATGTCCTCCAGAGCTGTCATTCTAAGGCATTTTTTTCCTCCTCCTCCTCCTCCTCCTCCTCCTCCTCCTCCTTTCTTCTTCCTCTTCTTCCTCCTCCTCTTCCTCTCTCTCCCTCTCCTTCTCTTTCCCCCTCTCCTTCATCTCCCTTCCACTCTGTCTTCCTCTCCCTCTTTCTTTTTCCTTCGCCCTCTCTCTCTTTGTTTCTCTTTTCTGTTTGTCTCTTCCCCTTCTCTCTTCCTGTGATTTTCTCTCTCTGTGTGTGTCTCTCTCACTCACACACACAGGTGCACACAATATTTTTATGAACAAGCAAAGGAAATTTTTTGAAGGATGCTAGATCATTTCAAAGGTTGAGTAACTTATGAATGTAAATCTTATATTATTCACATTATACAGTCGTGTATAAAGCATGGAAGGAGATCTGTAAGGGGGAAACTCTTTTCCAGTTATGCCTCTCAATCTGTTTATTGCCTCAAGCACCAAAAACATCACCTCAGAAACGGGGTGCGTGAAAAACAAAAGTTACCTAAGTTGCAATGTGCATTTTCATACCTGTTTTTTTTTCATCCGTTGCATTAAAACCCTGCATTAAAACCCATCTTAACCGTGACTTATACATTAGTCCCATCAAGCCAAGCCATCCATTCTGGTTTAAATGCCAGAATAATTGGTTGATGTAGTACATGAAGCTATGAAACGTAGTTTCCAAACTGTGGTGGCTTGGTCTCAAGGACAGTGCTATCTGAGCCATGCATTTGGCTCAGTCTTTCGGGTGACCCTAACTTCTGTGTACTTCTGAATTTCTCAGAAGTACAAGTTCTGTTCTCGTCAACCAACTTCTCCTTGACAAATGAGGTTTTTTTTTCCCCCTTTGGGCAGTTATGATAAAAACACTGTGATTTTAAGACAGTATGTTCTGTATTAGTCAGCACTTTTAATTCCTGGTATCTTATGAATGACCTTCTTACGGAATCAGCACAGAGAGAAGAGGGTGAACTCTACGTTTAGTACATGTACGAGGTAGATGCCTGGAGAAACAAGAAATTGGCTTCAATTAGGATGTTCAGTGCTGACCTGCTTCCAGGTCTTCCAGGGATCAAAATCTCTGCTTGGTTGGATCCAAGGGTGTCACGATTGGGAATTACAAACCAACATGAGTTTTGGTGAGCATAACGCAGGCAAATCAAAAAGACCAGCACATCATTGATTGAAAGGTTGATTGCTGCTGGGTTGTTGACTTTATTGTGCGTACCGACGATCATCCTAATTCCAATCCAAAGCACATGTCCCAAATCAACCCCATATAAATTGCCAAGGGTATTACGATCCCCTCAAACTTTCCCCAAAGCAAGTAAAATGAGTTCCCTCTAATCTTTCTGAGAGATAGGGAGAAACAGCTGTCACTCAACAATGCCTCTGAAATTGGAGGCATTTAGAGATGCCCAATAAACCACAGGATGGGCTTTGCTTGTTGGCGTGGACCATTTGTTAGCATACCATGGACTGGGGATTAGGACCCCTGCAATAAACCCTTAAATGCTTCTATTGAGTATTCTTTTTTCTTTTTCTGCCTGCCTGCCCCCTGGCGTCTATTTTCTCCCCTCTCTAGGTTCCCAAGAACCACTATTCTAGAAACAGGTGCAAAATAATGGCTTGAGAGAGTGGTTACAAACGGTGTTTTTTCCAACTTGGCAATTTTAAGATGGGTGGATTTCAACTCCGAGGATTCCCTAGCCAGCAAGGTTTTTCAGAATACTGGACGAAGAAATATCTTGCAGATTATGGAAGCAGAGAAGGCAGCAAGAGAGTTGAGGAAGGAAAGACCTGTTACAGAGAACCAATTCATAACTCCAGGAAAGAGGAAGGTGTGCAAAAGAGACACAAAGTTAACTCCCATCTTAAATCTGCTAGGTATAAGTCAGGAGTCTCCAAACTTGGGCAAGACTTGTGGACTTCAACTCCTAGAATTCCTCATGCTGGCTAGGGGATTCTGGGAGTTGAAGTCCACAAGTCTTAAAATTGCCAAGTATAGGTATTGGTATAGGTTGACCTGGAAAATTGTTTTGGAAGGCTTTCAAGATCCTTCCTACTGATGAAGATTTTTCCATTTAATTCAACTGCTTCTTGTGTCCTGAATTTGCCAGCCTCACAACACTTGACAAGCACACGTGTATTTTTTTTAAAAAATATTGGAACTGAGCTTAAGTATTTATGATACACAGATCCACTTAGGTTTTTTGTTTTATGTGAACAGCCTGATTTAAGAGAGATGGGGAAATCTTATCATCAAGTAACTGGAAGAGAAAACCACTCACCAGTGTGTTGCAAATAATGCACGGGTACTAATGAGCTGGCTTGGAATTACTTTCAGTTGACACTCTTATGCTGGGGGTGCGTGTCAAACTGGCGTCCCAGGGGCCGGATGTGTCCCATGCAGGCCACGCCCACCCCATCTCCGCGAAGGGGAAAAAAAGCATCACGATACGTCACATTGCAAGTTTGACACCAGTGCCCCTGAGTGTATTCTTAGTATAACATCTCCTTTCATAATAAGAAATTATGAGTCATTTCTTTTTCTCTTTGCACTCTTCTCGTTTTTTAAAACAGCCAAGCGGTTGGTTTCTTCCTCTTTTTTTCCTGCTCTGTATCTTAGCAGCGTACGTTTTGATAAGAATAGATTAAAAAATAAATAAAGGTTCAGTAGGTATTTTGGGAGCTGAAAACAATGGGCTGTTGCACGATGACGCCTGTTAAAATAAACCATGTGGTTTGCAAAGGTTTTTTCTGCAGCAAAGGTTTTCAGTTCTGTGCACACTTTAAAAAAACAAAAAAACAAAATAAACTCCTATGCTTTTTTCTTTCTTTCTTTTTTGCTACACTAAAGTGGAACCTTATGGCTGAGATGGAAACTCTTGCACACATTGTGTCCTGGCAGGCTGTACAAGGACTGCCTGACACAGCTCCTCCATCCATCAAACCTTGTCCTTCAAACAAGCTTCACTCCCAGGCTCTGGGAAGAGAGCTGTTTGCGTTGTCTTGCCATGTGTGGAGCTATCTCAGAAATGGAGTCTGGGATCCTTTGATGTTTTGGGTTGCTGCCCCACGTACAGATGGCCCTCTGGCTTTCAACAATCCGTTTTAGTGACCATTGGAAGTGACCGTGGCACTGAAGAAAGTGACTTGCGGCCATTTTTCACACTTTATGACCATTGCAGTATTTATGACGGTTGCCGTGTCTTTTTAAAATTATTAATACATTTTATTAAGTTTTACACTTTTAAAAACAAATAACATTTACAATTTTTGTAGTAGTTTGTGGCATCAACTTGTCCATATTCATTTACATACATATACACATACATATACATAAGTATATATATATATATATATATAGAGAGAGAGAGAGAGAGAGAGACAGTAAAGTATATGTGGGGGGGAGATACATCATTTCCATTTCCATTTCCATTTTGCATTGTCTTTTATTCCTCTTATCTAACCAAACATACCACTTTCCCCGTACAGTATAATATTCTTTTTCTTCCTTCTCCGGCAATTCCATTGTAAGTTTATTCATTTCTGCACAATCCATAATTTTTTTATAATCATATTATCTGTGGGACTGCTAATGGTTGCAATGTCTTAAAGTCGTGGAATCCCCTGTTACGACCTTCTGACAAGCAAAGTCAGCGGGGAAGTTAGATTCTCTTAGCAACTGTGTTACTAATTTAACAGCTTCTGGGATTTACCTAATGACTGTCTCATCCTCCAAGCATCTGAAGAGGCATCTGGGGAAGTGGCCTGGGGAGGCATCACAGATACATCTTTGCATACCTGAGACTCTAGAAAGAGTGCAGAGAAGAGCAAGCAAGATGATTAGGGGACTGGAGGCTAAAACATACGAAGAGCGGTTACAGGAACTGGGCATGGCTAGTCTAGTGAAGAGAAGGATCAGGGGAGACATGATAGTGTTCTAATATTTGAAGGGCTGTCACAGAGGAGGGGTTCAGATAGATAGAATTGACCCAGAGGTGCTTTTTTCAAGAGGCAATTGGACTTTCTGGGGTTTTTTTTGAAGACGTTTCTCTTCTCATCCAAGAAGCTTCTTCAGCTCTTCTGTCTCAGAGCTGAAGAAGTTTCTTGCATGAGAAGTGAGATGTCTTCAAAGAAAAACCAGAAAGTCCAGTTGCCTCTTGAAAAAACAGCTTTGGGTCAGCCGTGACCTGGATGGACTGAGAATCTCCATGGACATTGATGGAATTGAGTTTCCCAATATTTCAGGTAGTCTTTGATTTACAATTATTCATTTAGCAACTGTTCGGAGTTGCAATGGCCCTGGAAAAAGTGGCTACCAGAACTTGTACTTACAACTATCATGGTATTGCATGGTCACATGATCTAAATTTGGGAGTTTTCAGAATTTCAGAATAATAACAAAGTTGGAAGCGGCCTCATAGGTAATCTAATCCAACCCCCCCGACCAAGCAGGAGACCCTACACCATTTCTGACCGATGGCAGTCCAGTCTCTTCTGGAAAGCCTCCAGTGATGAAGCTCCCACAACTTCTGAAGGCAGCTTCTGTTCCATTGGTTGATTGCTCTCACTGTCATAAATGTCCTCCTTATTTCTAGGTTGAATCTCTCCTGGATCAGCTTCCATCCATTAGTCCTTGTCTGGCCTTCAGGTGCTTTGGAAAACAAGTTGACCCCTTTCCCCACACTGTGGCAGCTCCTTAAAGTATCAGAACGCTACTATCAAGTCTCCCCTTGACAATTGGCATGCATTTATGGCAGTTGCACTATCCTTTGTGGGTTTATGTGATCCCCAGTTGTGACCTCCCCAGCTGGCTTCCAACAAGGACAGTCAGTGTGAGATGCCCAATTTGCTTTGTTAACCATCGTTATTGTTATTAACAACTGCAAGCGATCCACTTAGCAACCATGGATGGTTAAAAAAGGATTG